CAGAGTTGGACGTGGCGTGCCTGTGCCCGAGGCTGGCTGGGCTCTGACAGTTTTTTCCTGCTCTCGTGTTGCACCCAGGATGACCGAGTGGGAGACGGCTGCACCGGCGGTGGCAGAAACCCCCGACATCAAGCTCTTTGGGAAGTGGAGCACTGATGATGTACAGATCAATGACATTTCCCTACAGGTAAGGGGGACGTGGTGGTTAGTCTTCTTAGCAGGGGACTGGGAACAGATGTGGATTTTTCCAGGAGGGGACACTTCAGACTTTTTGATTTCCTTCTAAGTCAACAGTCGAAGCCGTGACAGGTAAGGAAGGGATACCTGGACCACACCTGCCGCAGCCACTCTTTCACATCCTGCCCAAAGGTTGCTACAACTTTAGTCATGAGATGGTTCATTGCCCAGAAGGAGCATCGCATTCCACATCCTGTTGTTTTTGTAGCAAAATACACATAAAACTCACTTTGTTTTTATTCTTTTTCTTTTGAGAAAGGGTTTCTGTTGCCAGGCTACAGTGCAGTGGCGTCATCATAGCTCACAGCAACCTCAAACTCCTGGGCTCAAGCGATCCTCCTGCCTCGGCCTCCCGAGTAGCTGGGACAATAGGCTCATGCCACCATGCCTGGCTAATTTTTTTCTATTTTTGGTAGTGGTGGGGTCTCGCTCTCACTCAGGCTGTTCTTGAATTCCTGACCTCAAGCGATCCTCCTGCCTTGGCCTCCTGGAGTGCTAGGATGAATGTCTTTTAGATCTTAGCTTTTCCTTCATGGGTTGGTTTTGGGAGGTCCACAGGCTTTTTCATCAAAGGGCCAGATAGTAAATGTTTTGGGCTTGGTGAGACATTGGATCTCTGTTACTTATTTTACGGATTTTCTCTTATTTTTTGAACAACCCTTTAAAAATAAATGAACTGTTCACTATCTCTTGGTCTATTAAACAAATGTTTATTAAGTGCCTGCTCTGTTAGGGGTTGGGTAAGTAAAAGTGTAGCGTGGGAGTTAACTCCACCGGAAACACCCATGCTCCACTGTGGGGCCAAGCTCTTGCTGGGTCATCTGGTGTTTGCGGTTTTGTGCTGCACGGTGAAGCCTGAACACCCTTCTACTTGCCCGTTTATGCAGGTGCTTCTCTTGAGGGTGGACACTGGGCTTCAGTGTCAGTCTCCTGTGTTCCTTTCCTGTCACTCTTTGTGGAAACACATAGTTTGTGTGTTCTCACATGCAAGTGATAGGATGGCCTTGGGTCTGTTTTTGTAATGGAATTATCCGTAGCAGTCCCTTTCAAATACACACAACTCCACTGATTCCATCCCCGCTTTATGAATGCAAGATTAATATTTTTGGACTTTTGTAGGCTGCTTTCTGGGGATATGTGTGTAGGAATGCTTGTTAAATGATTTTTTTTTTTCCTTTTAAAACTGGTTACTCTGGGACGGTTGTTCCCTCCCTCTGGGGGTCACTGTACAATGTCTGGATACATTTTTAGCTGTTGAAACTGAGGGGGGTGCTACTGGCTTGCTGGATGCTGCTGAATATCCTACAGTGCATGGGATCCCCCCCACAACAGAATTATCTGGTTTAAAGTACCCATGGTGCAGAGTCTGAGGAACACAGCTTTAGAAAACTGAAATCATGGGCTCTAACCTTAGATTCCCACCCTCTCTCTCCTTCTCTTTTTAGTAATTTGGTAAAGTCACTTGTTAGGGTTTAATTTTTTTCATGGTAGGTGGGGCTTGCATTCAAGTCCCCTGGGGAAGCAGACCAGAGTTGCAAGTGGCTGGGGGCTACCCTTCGTGGGCGCCAGGGCCCATCCTGCTCCTGACCATTGTCCCTTTATCCCCCTTCCCTGCTGCCAAGGATTACATTGCAGTGAAGGAGAAGTATGCCAAGTACCTGCCTCACAGTGCCGGGCGGTATGCTGCCAAGCGCTTCCGCAAAGCGCAGTGCCCCATCGTGGAACGCCTCACTAACTCCATGATGATGCACGGCCGCAACAACGGCAAGAAGCTGATGACTGTGCGCATCGTCAAGCATGCCTTTGAGATCATCCACCTGCTCACGGGCGAGGTAGGGCTCTGCGGCCCACGGGTCAGGCTGTGCCCTTAGTGCGTCCCACAGCCCCGTGGTGCATATGCCAGGCTCATCCCCTGTGTGGTGCAGCTGCCCTTGTAGGGGTGAGGAGAATGGGAGAGGGATTGTGGGGCCCGGGTGTCAGGCTCATAGCCCCCTTCTCTCCTAGAATCCTCTGCAGGTCCTGGTCAACGCCATCATCAATAGTGGACCCCGGGAGGACTCAACTCGCATTGGGCGAGCTGGGACGGTGCGACGGCAGGCTGTGGACGTGTCCCCACTGCGGCGTGTGAATCAGGTGGGCCTGTGGCTTATGCACATGGCACGGTGGAAACAGCCACCAGGATTGGGTGGGGTCCTGCCTGGGGCAGAAAGGCTTGTTGCTGTCTGTGTGTTTTATCAGGAGCATCACTTCCTCCAGGAAGCCTTCCTGGGTTCCCACCCTTTCCAGGACAGATCCAGGCTCTGTCCTAGGCTACATTTGGCTGAGGTCTAATTTCCTTTGGGTGTATATTTTTACACTGTGTACATTTGTGCGTGTGCTTTTTTTTCCTTGGGCCATTTGAGAATTAGTTGCAGGCATTCTGACAATTTCCCTCGAACTCAGTGAACTCTTAAGAGCTATAGAATATTGAATTAGTCATTGTTCCATTTATACATGTGTACCCAGCATGCCCTTTATAGCTGTTCCTGGTTAGTCTAGGGTCCCGGTCAAGAGTATATCTTGCCCTCCCCCCCCCCGTTGTTTTTTTTTTAATTTGAGACAGTCTCGCTCTGTCTCCTGGGCTGGAATGCGGTGGCATCATCTTAGCTCACTACGACCTCAGACTCCTGGGCTCAGGCGATCCTCCTGCCTCAGCCTTCCAGGTAGCTGGGAGTACAGGCGTGCGCCACCACACATGGCTAATTTTTTATTTTTTTGTAGAGAAAAGGTCTCACTATGTTGCCCAGGGTAGTCTCGAACTCCTGGCCTCAAGCGATATTCCAGCCTTGGCCTCCCAAAGTGCGAGGATTACAGGCGTGAGCCACCATGCCTGGCCCCGTATATTGCATTTTGCTGTCACAACCAGGCTGAAGTCTGTCATTGGGACTGTGTGTGTGTATCTGCTTTTTCAGCCCTCTGATCCCAGATCTGGGCTGATGCCACCTTCCCTTACATCTTGTCTCAGTGGGCCAGTGGGAGAGAGCGTTCCAGCCAACACGTCTGTTGAGGGTGGGCCGGGGTACTGGGGGACCAATCTGTCGGTAGCCTCAGCCTGACCCCTGCACTCCCTAGGCCATCTGGCTGCTGTGCACGGGTGCCCGTGAGGCTGCCTTCCGGAACATCAAGACCATCGCCGAGTGCTTGGCGGATGAGCTTATCAACGCTGCTAAGGTGGGTGGGGACGCGCGGGGCGGGTCATAAGTTGGGCGTTTGGTGGGGGTTCTCCACAATTGAGAGCTAACCATCTGCCTCCTTGCAGGGCTCCTCCAACTCCTACGCCATTAAGAAGAAGGATGAGCTCGAGCGTGTGGCCAAGTCTAACCGTTGATTGCTCGGCTGCTGCCCAATAAACCTGTCTGCCCTTGGGGGCGGCCCTGCCCACCTGTGCTGTTTTCTGTGGGGGGGGGGGGCAGGGTAGCCCTGGTGGCCTTTGGAGCTGCTCGTGTTTGGGCATGTCCGTCGGCCTGTGGGGCCTGGAAGCACCACTGACTCAGAACCCGGCACCTGAGGACCGGCAGGTGGGGCACAGTGCAGGCCAGGCCTCCCGGGTGTCCCAGCAGGCACTGGAGATGCGAGAGGTTGACAGTGACCTCCGAGGACCTGGCACACTACTCTCGTCTGGGAGGGGCTTGTGTGTGGGTGAGGTCTGGGTGGCAGCAGAGCATCCTGAGAGGGACGTTGCCTGAAAGCAGCCCCGGGGAGGAACAAAGCTGTGGTGTCTGGGCCACAACCGTCCCCAGCCCCTTGTGCGTTGGCTGGTGAGTCCCGCTGTCCGCCCCTGGCCTCCAGAAGCCCCGCCCTCTCCAAGTGGGGACCGGCCTCACTCTGGCCGGGTTGTCTCTCCAGCCACACTGGTTGTGGCTGCAGCCCTGCCCTGTACACCTGTCACCCGGAGCATGACAGGTTCCCCCTCTCCACTAGTGGCCCATGCAGAGTTGCCAGGCTGGTGGGGACAGGTTGGGATCCACCCAGGGCCGTGAGCGGTGACTCCATACTGGAGATTCATCAGGTCTGGAAGGGTGGGCTGTGCCCATGCCCTCCCGCCTTGTGCCATCGTCACCTTCCCGCCACCCCCGACATCCGGCCAGTTCGGGTTCGGTGCTTACCCTGGCAGGACTGCCCAGGGGGTGGGGCAGGCAGTCCGACGGGTCCAGCGGGTACGTGGGAACCTGGGACCTGGAAGGGCGGCCCCCAGGTTAGGCGCCCTCCCCCAGGGAGGGGCACTGAGCTACCCAGCCTCTGGTGGGCCAGAGCTGGCCAGAACGGAAGGTGCTCTCCACTGGCCGGAGGGAGGCGGCATCCACAGGTAGGAAGAGTCCCGCGGGCCGGCTAGGTTCTCACTGTGGGGAGCCCTTGGTCCCGCTCCTGGGCTTGTAGGACCGCCGCCCTGGGTTCTGTCTGCCCAGCTCTGCTTCCTGTCCGCTCTCCCGGCGGGATCCTCCCTGGAGTCTCCATCCCTGTCCTTCCTGGAGCCGCTCAGGTCTTCCTCAGGTCCACGTTCAGCCCCAATCTGTGACCCTGTTTGTTTCTAGGGCATCCCCTAAGTTTCCAGTTCGAGGTCTGTGGTCCCCCATCGCTGCTCCTGCTTGGCGCTGTCTGCCCCTTCCGTGGGGACTCTGCTCTGCCCCTCCTCAAAGTCCATCCGGAGTCACCACGGGTCTCGGCGCTGTCCGCGCTCCCACCGCCGCCTCCCCTGCCTGACTGCCTCGCCCGGTGCGGTCTGGATGCCCTGCCCTCGGCCCCCCTGGCTCCGCCGCGCCCGGACGCTCCCCGGCTCGGGCCCCAGCTCCCCAGGCTCGCTCTCCGCGCCCCGCTCCCCGGCCGGAGGGGAGGATGAGGAGGAGGAGGAGGAGGAGGAGGCGGACGGCAGCCCGGGCGCCGGCCCCATCCTGAGCCCCGCCTCCCCGGTGGAGTGCCTCATCTGCGTGTCGCCCTTCGACGGCGCGTTCAAGCTGCCCAAGCGCCTGGACTGCGGCCACGTCTTCTGCCTCGAGTGCCTGGCCCGCCTGTCGCTGGCCACCGCGGGCGGCGGCGACGCGGTGGCCTGCCCGGTGTGCCGCGCGCCCACGCGCCTGGCCCCGCGCCGCGGGCTGCCCGCGCTGCCCACGCAGCC